CTTTCGTCATTGCTAATACTCATGAAACTTGAAATATGACTACCATTGGCATACCTTCCAATGGACGTTTTTCAAAACTTCAATTTGCAATTTGAATGAGCGACATGATGCAACTTGACGTCAAAATGCATATTTGATAATGATCAACATAATTAGTGGACAGCGAATACAATTGTGAATTTCAAAGAAATCAATAAGAATTTTCTTATTGTAAAATGAAAATTATAGTTTCAGCTGATCAGTTTGAATGAGTAATAGGGTGTGAATCGGGAAGAAAAAATTGCCGGATGGAAGCGAAATATTATTAATTTTCCTTCTAATCACTTGAATAAAATTTTCAAAAATAAATCAACTATCTTAAAAAATATCTATTACCACTGGAAAAAATTTCGAAAAAATCTCTAACCACAAGTCATTTTTCAAGGACTTTCTAACAATTAATTACTCATTTTTTTAACGAATTTTCTCAAGACCGTAACAGGACTTTTACGTAGCGACTAAGGTGTTTGAATAATCATCATATAATTCCCTGTAAACATAATTTTTTACTACTCTAGATTCTCTTTGATCCCCCAAATATATCTTTAACGAGTGCCATCAACGAACACGTGATAACGCAACATAAAGCTGCCCGTGGTTAAAGATGTCTCGTCTAAGATCAATCCCAATTTTTTCAAATGTTTGCCCTTGGGATTTATTAATTGTAATAGCGAACGCCAATCGAATGGGAAATTGTCTTCTTCCAAACACAAAGGGATAAGTATCTTCATTATACAAAGTGATACGACATATAAATACTATATCTCCTACTTTATCACCAGTTAGAACTTTGCATTTTAGTAAGTGATTCGATAATTCTAAAATTCTGAGTCTTGTTCCATTACATAAACCTTCATTAACGGAGAGATTTCTGATTAACATCACAACTGCATTAACCCTTAATTTCAATTCATGTGGTGGCAAATTAGGAGGATTCAATGTTTCCAGATATTCTGGTAGTAGTGCTTCAGCCATTATTCCATTATCACATTCTTTTATAGTGTTAATACTTGTATAAATTCTTTCCGTGGTTTTGTCTAGCAATTCCACAACTTTCTTGTTAATATCGTCAACATCATTATTTCTTGCAGCTAAAATTGCCCACTTTGTCAATTTTTCATACTCTCCTTGTCTGATAACTTCGCCATAAGTATCCTCAACAATATCAGCATTCAGAGGAGCAAGACAATTTTCTGGCAGACATAAATCGAAATCGTTAATGTTGATAGTCCCATCACCTACTGCTAATAGAAAATTTGTGAATTCAACTTCCTCCGGTAAAGTACGCATATTTTCGGTCAGACAGAAGCGCGTAAATTCATGCCACAAGAAGCTGAATTTGATCGACAAGTTAACTACTTCACTGCGTGTAGCATATTTTTTGACTGGTAATAACTGACGAAAATCACCACCGAGTAACACAATTTTTCCTCCAAACGACTGATCATTGTCCATAATATCCCGTAAAGTACGATCTACTAATTCTAGTGCATGTCTCGGTGCCATTGGAGCTTCATCCCAAATAAATAGATCAACATTCTTTAAATAATTTGCCTCTGTGGATTGAACTTTAATAGTTGGTGATGAATCGTGATACAATGCAATTGGTAATTTGAATGTTTTGTGGACCGTTTTTCCACGTGGAAGTAAAGTTGCTGCGATACCAGTGTAAGCCATAGTGCACAATTTCTTGTCTTGACTTCGCAACAAATGATATAAGGTTGTGTAGATAAATGTTTTCCCCGATCCTCCCGGTCCGTCAATGAAAATACATCGAGATTCATTATCAGTTGTGGTGTTTAAGATTCGAATTAAAACAGTGTCAACAACATGTTTTTGTTTTTCATTGAGTTTTTGATACTGGTCTGACCCAATGATACGATGTTGATCCGGTAACATATCATCGTCAATATCATCGACATCATTAATTTGTGGCATTGATGGAAAGTTTGCCAAACTTGATCCTTCAGCAGTTAATAATGAGTTAATCTGAATGTAAGCTTTCAAATGAGCTTGATAAAGAGAGCTTGTTCGTGAGTAATCCTCCGCTAATGAATCTTTAAATTCCTCCCACAACTCTTCGGGATGAATAGGTTTGCAATGCATTAAAATACGTACAAATAATTGACGCAATTGTCTTGGCATCATCCAGATCTCAGCTTCACGCATGGCTGTCATCCACTCATTGTCATCTTCAATCAAACCTAATGCAAGACATGTACTCATGAATGTTGGGTGCAATATTCCATTTACTGTTCTTAAATCCTCAAAACTGATTGCTCCTTTCACATGTATCAATAATAATCTCAGATGAAATAATTCTGTCTGCGTGGGACTCACCGAGTATATCCGGCCAATTACATTGAAATGCTTTTTTCGTTTTGCCCAGATCCACTCAGCATTTTGTTTTTTGAATGTATAATGCTCTGGTATTTCTGCGTATGTAAAATTCCTCGATTCTCGATCGTACTGGTTTAATGTAAAATATGCAGTCAAGGTAGTATTTTTCCGCAAAGCACTTTGAATGGCTGCATCATTATCAATTTCATCAATCATAATTGTTTGTTGATTCGGCAGATGTATTGACAATCGTGTGATAGTGTGACTTTTGTCGTGCATGTGAAAATTAAGAATACGTGCACACGCTTCAGGAGGACTGACATACCGTGTTTCTAGATAATCTTTAATTTCATCATGATTAATCACTGCTTGATTTGAATTTTCATCCGATTCTTGAATTACAATCGCGGCAGCATCAGGGCCTTTATAAATGTATTTATAAAGATATTTAACAGCCTTTATATTTGAGACAACCTCAACGTTGATATGACAATTGAGACGTTGCAGTAATTCTTTATTGTGAGGTACAACGCTTCGATTATCAAATTCGAATCCATCGCGTCGAGTATATTGTCCTGTATCTCGACGTTTGTAGCAAGGATAACCATCTTCATCCATTGTTGTTTCATTCTGGAATGTTTTTGGGTATTTTTTGGAACATTGCTGCTTTTCATTTAAACACCAATCCCCGCAAGGGCCATGGATCATATTATTCTTTATAATTTCATGTAATTCCAGATTCTCATTAGCACTTGTCATTTCAGCAGAAATATATTCATCTACTCTATCCACCGTCGTGATTTTAGAATTAGGTTTCAGAATTAATAGTAAATGAATATGGGGTAAGCCACGTTTCTGGTATTCTATCACATGCATATGAGCTTGAACGTCTCCGAATATTTTCTCTTTAGTGATAATTCTAATTAGCTCATTCCTTTTCAATTCAAAAACACGAGCTACCAAGTCCGGTCTGTCCGATGCAGTTTGTCCTTCGAGAAGATTTTCTGTTATTTCTATCCATTTCGGATTACAAGTCATTGTGACGAACAAATCTGGCTTGCCAAAATGACGAACAATTGACATTGAGTCTTGGTAAGTTTGCAGCATATAACGTGGAGATCCAACATGCGATGACGGAAGAATGCATACTTTACCAATACAGCTATTGCTATCTTGAGCCCGCCGACGTAAATGTTCCATTACACCTTCATAGCAATCGACACGTAGTTTTTGTTGTATTGAACGTAAATACTGCATTTTATCCTTTTCTATTTTTACATAACTGTCAACTGTCCATTGCTGGAATAATCTACGCCCCATCAGGATATAATTTATTTCAGGTCGAACCGCCATCCGGCACTTGAAATAACCATTTCTTGTGATTCGACGTTTGCCATCAGTCTGTTTCATGTTTTCAGACCAGCCTCTAGTTCCATGTGGATAGAATAGTGGATAAGTCCATGGTTCGACGAATTCATTCATAGAATTGACATATTGTAAAACTCCATCTGATCTATTTCGAATGGTTACATATGATTCTGGAATTTCTCCATCTGCTGTTGTCGAATACACGGCCGCCACCTCATTAACCCGCTGAAAATTGAATCGGCGTTTGTCTAAGCCTTTCTTCAATGTGAATAATAATTCAAGTTCTGGTTCAATGCCATTATTCATTGCAGTCATTAAGTCTAATTCTTCTTTCATCATTTGATATGATTGAACATGAATATTACAATGTCTCAATGCATTGTCAATAGCTTGAACGACTTCAGCGTTCAAATTTGAACTTGAATTCAGCCTATACTCTGTGGCTTCATTGGAGTCAATTATGAAAAGCTGTCCATAGCTGGGTAATTGACCAGTCGCTGGATACAGGGATGTATTAATTTGATAATAAATCTGTCCTTGAATTTTAAAACAAAAAGGCCCTGGTCGTCTAGTATTAAAATTCACTAAATTTGCGTTGAAGGAAGCGAGTGAAAATGAGTTATTATAATATCGAATATTTTGATAAAAGTGATTTGATTTTTCATGAACACCATTGAATAATTCTCTTACAATTTCTGGTGGATTTGGTAAGTTTTCAATGAAAACCTTGCCATGACTGCAACAATCATTAAACGAACTACCCTTATTTGAAACTGTTTCCCCCGCGAAATGTAATGCTTTGCAATGGATACACTTAATGTTCATAGGACCTAAGTAATGTTCAGAAATCCTGTTTATTTCTCGCATATTAACCACAGTTCCAGTTACATTATACACGAATCGGTGATGTGGTCGAAGATGAATGAGACTTTGATTTGTTGTCACTAAATTGGTAGTGGAATCATTAGCTCCTGGATGTTCGCTAATATTATGAAATTGAATATTCAATCCTGAAGGCCTGTGTAGTGACTGTGTAAAATCACTTTGATTACTTCTTTTCGTACAATTAGATTCCGCAATTCTTCCGTGAGGGTTTGAACTTGAATAATCATGCGGATTATCCACAATAATATTATTATTCATTATTGAATTGGGTGACTGATGAAAAATGTTGTGGTTCATTTTTGATTTTAATTCACCGTTTTTTGATTGAGAAGATTGAACGGATTCGAGAGTTGGCAAGTGTAATTTCTCATTGGTAACTGTTTTTCTGTATAGTTGATTCAATTGGCAATAATTCGAATAGCTATGATCAAGAGCGATCGCGTTTACTATTGTTTTTTGAATGGTTTCAGTAGATTCTGAAGGTGTCATGGAAGTAACAACATTCGTTGAAGTATATTCTGTGATCATTTGATTCATGAATGTGCCCGGTACTACTACCTGAAGATGATTTTGAGCAGATTCTGTATTTGTATCTAGAACAATTAATTTCCTTGTTTTTGTGGGATTCAACTTTTGATTCGTAATTGCTAGTCTTTTTGGCATTTTTCTCGTTATCCTGGGACTGAAATTATTTGATAATATAAACCACTATTGAACCGTTTTTGGTGATATTTCTATTGAAAATGTTCTTGATTCGGCTGAATATTTTATTTTTAAAGATCCTTTTCGTAATATCTGTATATGTTTTCTCCTTTGAATCTGAGTGTCTTAAATCTGAAATAATTTTTCGAGTTATCTGAAAAGTTCCATGAAAAATAATTCGTCTTGTTTATCTGAATATCTTTTTTGTCTGTGAATCTGAGTTACTGTTTAATCTGTGAAAGCTGAAACACGTTATTCTTTTTTTCTGAAAATTTTTGGAAAGGTCATGTAAAAGGCAAATGCTTTATTTTTGAAAATTACAACAGGTTGAAATTGTAATCATACAACTATACAAATACAAATAATTACGATCTGCTGTATGATGAATTTTCCACTTTTTGCGGTATCCTCCAATTGTGATAACGTTGATGAATTTATTTTCCTGAAAGAAAAAAAAAATTTTTTTATTCTTTGGTATTATGAAATGAATATAATAGTGCTTTCCTTTATTCTTCATGCATGCCAGCATGTCTTTTGGTTTTTTTACATGACTTCACCGTAATGAATTTCGTATACATTTCTTAGGTTATGTGTTTGTCACTGAAAAGAGATAATTGCTGTTAGAGATACTCACCTTCTGTTGATTGAATTGATTCGTTATTATCGTTAGGGCATTGAAACACCTCTTCGTGATTCTGTTGCTGATTAATCTAAAATCACAGTGAAATACATATGTATAAGTTCTCGCGGTTTATTAGATTAATCGATTGATTAAATTAAGTGTGCAAGCAACTTAATCATTCAAAAGATGATTCTACTAACCTCCAATCGAGAAAATCGTTGACAGCTCAGGAATTACACTTATTTTGAGACTTTAAAACAAGGTATATTGTTAAGAAAAAAATTAACTATTCGCGCAGAGATTATAGGGGAGATTGTTAGGGCTTATGGAAAGGCTTGGGCAAGTGATTCATTGCGGCGGCTACGGAACTACGCCCAGAGAGCCCGTACGTGTAAGTAAAACAGGTCGCGAGCCCGTGAGTGTCGATAATTTTCAGAGCCCGTGCGTGTCGATAATGTTCAGAGCCCGCGAGTATGGATACGACAGAGCGCGAGCCCGTGAGTGTCGATAATTCGAGGCGGTCGTGGGTATCACTAAGGTAGGGCACTTATTGAAATAATGATGACGTCCGAAAACGAACGAAAACATCCGATGTACCGGAGAGTGGGGGTATGATGGAGACACAACCGATCGACGGAATGAAAAAGCGATTTAACGTTCATAAATACGCCATTTGTTTAAAAAATTGAGGGAAAATTGTCCCGAACATGTATACTCAAACGATTGAGAATCGTCTGAAACGTGGAGATTAATTAGTCCCTCGGAACTTTTTTTTTTAAACGATTTCTTTTTTGTTAACAAATTCAAAAATGATTAAACAAATTCGGGAAAAATTGTCTCGCGAATATATATTCAAACGATTGGGAATCACCTGAAACGTCGAGATTTATTAGTCCCTCGGAACTTTTTTTTTTAAACGGCTCTATTTTTGTTAAGAAATTGAAAAATGACTAAACAAATTCGGGAAAAATAGAGCCGTTGAAAAAAAAAAGGTAAAAAAAAAACTCACCGGCTCTGAACATTATCAACACGCACGGGCTTTGAAAATTATCGACACTCACGGGCTCGCGACCTGTTTTACTTACAGGTACGGGCTCTCGATCTGCTTTACTTACAGGTACGGGCTCTGACCCTGTTGAAGGTTTTGTACAGGCGCCGGCAATCTCCCCTATAATCTCTGATTCGCGATCATAATTTATACCAAAGAGGATTGACTAAAGTAGAGGCTCAATTCTATGGGTTCACACGACCCCAAGGCAATCGTGATATCACCACATGGGAGGGAGGGCACCACGATCGCCGTTGAGATATAAACGTGTTGACGGTGTCGGTAATTAATTATTAATAGTCATTAAAGTAATAATGAATTTAAGCGGCCATGTAACATTACCATAGGAGTAAAATTGTCAATCCCATTATTTTTTAGAGACAAACGAATATTTTGAAAAACCTAAATTATTAATCGCTGCGTAACGTGTTAATGAAATGAGTAAGAATTTGATTTTTTAGATTTAATTTAATAGGTTGACCCTAAAAAATAATGGGATTGAAAATTTTACTCCTATAGTAATGTTACATAGCCACTTAAATTCATTATTATTAATGATTATTAATGATTAATTACCGACACCGTCAACACGTTTATATCTCAACGGTGGTCGTGGCGCCCTCCCTTCCATGTGGTGATATCGTGATTGTCTTGGGGTCGTGTGAACCTACAGAATTGAGTCTCTACTTTAGTCAATCCTCTTTGGTTCAGATGATCACAACCTCACCTCAGTATAATTTCACGAGATAGATGGCGCCACGAACGATACCTTGTTCAAAAATATGTGTGGCAACGATAAAAAATGTATTTTTTACAAAAAAAAAATGTGGTTGGCTAGGTTAAAAAATTATCAAATAAAAAATGATTTTCTGTTTTATTCGAATATTTTCTTTGTACATTGTATTGAAGCACACAGGTACCCATTAATCTTATCACAAAACATGGTACAAATCACAGACTGTGATTAGAATCATCAAAACGTCATTATCATTTCTTAATAACAAAATTAAATTCGGCTTTGGCCAACAGTCTTCTTGCCAACGGGCAGTGAATACAAAAAACAAGGGCAGAAGAATTTACAAAAAAAAACAGAAAAATGGGAACAGTTTCTTTGTTAATAAATTTTCTTTGTGCGTTGATTTTTAAGCTACACGAATTATGACAAAATAATCTTTGGATTATGAATTTTGGTCAGAAACTTCTTTCCTGTATCTCAACTTTCAAAATATTGTTTAAAATTTCCTCCTCAAATTATTCGTAACTGGTACAACATTACGTGGCAATAACAATTTTTTGTCATAATTTTTTGCCTTTTAAAATTCAACAGACAAAGATTCGTAAAAAAAAATAATAATTGTTTCGCACTTTTTTTTCACTCTTCTACCCTTTTATTATAAATTTTTCTTACGTAAAATGACTGAAATTTGTTAAATATCTGAAATCTCAAAATTGCTTTTAAAGCGACTGAAAGTATGGACTACCAAAAATAATAATAAATATCCGAAAAACTAATGATAGCTAAAGACCATATAAGAAATTTTAATTATATTAATAAAAATATAATTCTTTCCTTTTCAGTTATTTTACGTAATTTGACATATTACTAAGGCTTTAATCAGTCTTTTTGCCAACGGGCAACGAACACGAGTAAAAAAGAGTATTTCAACACTTTTTTTACTTTAATCTTGATTTTGTAATATAAAATGAGTGAAAAAATTATTATTTTCCTTTAAGGAACAATAATCCAAAAATGTCGAATTTAACAAATATGTAGTTAGAGATACGTGCAGTATGAGATAAATTGCAAGGCAAGTATAGTCTGGGGTAAAACGTAATGTGAACATGTAAAAATATTTTTTTCACTCATTTTAAATCGAATACTTGTTAAGTAATACTTTTCATTTGTTACTGAGTAGTAAAAATCGTTTCATGAACACTGAAACAAGTTAAAGAGGCCTTGAGCCAAGTTTTTTCATCAACAAACAATAAACATAAATAAAAAAGAATATTTAAACCGTTTCTCAATTTAGAAATTGACTTTTTCAATTTAAATGTGACCTAAAAAGATTGTCCATTTCTGATAGTGCTCACAAACAAAACGAAATGATAGAAAAAAATTTTTAGAAAAAACAGAAATATGCGTCATAGCATTGGAAAGTGCTGTGTAAAATGGCCTATCAAAAACAAAGTAGGTTTTTTTTTACTGTGATTCGTCCGCGGAATCATCTGAATAATGGATTACCACGACATCACCCTGGGCCCTTTTTTTAAGAGCTAGTGCTCTACGCTGCAACTCATCAGCATGCTGTAGGGGTTGGATAGCCTCACGCTGTCTCTTTCTTTGAGTGGCAAATCTTGATGGTCCTCTAGCATGTCGTGGTGATTGAGCTCCATTCATGTCCTCATCGTCGTTGCCAGCAACTCCTGATACGTTAAATGGAGGGAATTCCTTATTGAAATCTTCGTCCACTCCCGTGTGAGCACCCACAGATGATTCTGAAGGAATAGGAAGCTCTCCATTGAGACTATTACCATTAGAACGTACCCCTGCTACAACATCAGCATAGCTATTTCCTGCTCTGCTTGTTGGAGGAACCTGCCCCCCTGGGTTATCATTGATTACTGGCTCAGGAACTCTTGCAGCTGGTGCATCACCACGTTCAGGATTAGAGATACCAAGAATTGCTTGGACATTTGCAAGCGCAGCAGCATTGTTGTTTGCAATCGGGAGACCACGTCCAGCTACTGATGCTACATTGTGCTGAATATTTTCAGCGATTGGTGACACTGCTGCAGGAGCATCTGCAGGTAGCACTGCTGCAGGAAGATTAGATCTTTGTTGAAGTACTGGAGCCGGTGTTTCCTCGTTTGCATTACCATTCACAACGCCTGGAGGAATTCTGAAGCCCTCAGCCAACTGTTCCCTTTGCATGATATTGCCATCAATAATTTCGATGTTTGCTACGTCCGGTACTTGAAGGAGGAGTGTACCTAGATTGTTTCGGCGTAAAGTCCCTTGTACTCGTACATGTGTACCAAGAGGTGGGGCCAAATTGTTATCAAACATCGTCACATTCATCACCAGGCGGTAAAAACCATCAGTTATTGCTCCAGATCCATACGATGCATTACCAAAAACTTGTTGTTCAAGGACAGTCTCAATATATCCAGTAATTCGAACGATCCCCTGACATAAGGCGATATCACTTAGTGGCACTTCAGGTACTGCCGTGTTACCGTTAGGGTTCTCGTATGGTCCATGTAAAGTGATGATAGAATTTCGTTGTACAGAGAGCTCAATTTTCATCAAATGTGCAGGTCCTGGGTATCTTGTGTCAGCAAGGGCAACACGAATCCTGGTGATAGTAATCACTTGCCCCAGCATTTGTGACTCGTATGTTCTGGCCATGTCTTCCCAAAAGAGAACTCTCAGTTGTCTTCCTGCCATGTTGTTAAAGATGCATCTAAATAGATACACACGTGGGGGGGCAGCATTAGCTCTAACAGGACGTGGATCCAATGCTGAGATGACTCCTGTCACGGTACTAAAAAAAAATTTAATATAAAAATCTGAAAATTTATAATTGTCAAAAAGATGCATTTTTTTCAATAATAAAAAAGCATTGCACTGTTCTCACTACCATTAATTAAATGTTGGGCCGATTTTCACAAATTCATTATTATTTCAACTTTTAATAAATATTTTTTCATCTTTGATGAACTTCTAGAATAATCACAGACCACGTGGCAATCTAACCTAGTAATGAATTTCACCGGTCAAGATAAATACTAAAACATTGCACTGTTCTTACTACGATTAATTAAATGTTCGGCCGGTTTTCAAAAATTTATTATTATTTCAACTTTTAATAAATATTATTTCATCTTCGATGAACTTCTATAATAATCACAGACCACGCGGCAATCTAACCTAGTAATGAATTTCACCGGTGAAGATAAATACTATGATAAATTAAATAATAAAAAATGAAAAAAATCTCAATCAGATGAATTTTAATACTTGAAATTGATTAATTTCGCGGATTTCTAAGAATCAAGAACTGAGATCATGATTTTATCATGATTTTAAGGAAGAATTGACTTTGGGATAACTTGACATACTACTTCAATTCTGAATAAAAAACACTATTTAGCCTTTTATGAAAAATTGATAAAAATACTTACAAAGTATTATCGCCAGGCTGTGCGTTGTCAAGTCTTTCGTTGGATGTGAATGTGGGAAAATCACTCATCGTGGATGGTTTTGCATTTGATTTTAACGGCACAAAAACACGTGTGTA